TCTTTGAATCTTTAAATTCTGTTGGTTCTTCCTTGATTTAATTTTGAAATCTTACATGTTAACACAACGTGAAAAGTGCGAAAAGAGAAGTGCTATGAATGATGTGGAATTCAACTTGCTTTCGGAAAGAGAAAGAGAGGCACTCACCACTGATCATGGGTACAAGTTCACACTTTTGTTGAAAGAATTGATTGGAGCTTTAGCAGAAAAGGCTGTTTTCTATAAGGACGATTTTGCTAACTTCTTTGTTTCATCTCAAATTAACAATCAACTTGCCTTCTTCTTTAGAGATTTACTTGGCTGTGGTGATTTAATCAAACATGAATATGTTTTCGATTTGATGGAAAGTTACTTTAGAGAATTCACAGTCAAAAAGCCAGTCACCATTAACACTATCAAGCTTTGTATTGATTTCTTGCAAATTTTATCTGACCATCCACAATTTGCTGAATTGAACTTGTCAATCTTCCATCCAAAGGAATATATTTATCATGAATCAATTCTTTGTCCACCAGTCAAACTTTTGGTCAATCTTATTAGAGATTGTATCACCAAGTTTAAGAGTGAAATTGATGTACACAACAGTGCTATCAAAGTTCTCAGATATATTCTCACTAAGGAGGAATATACTCATCTTTCAATTCCAAATGTAACAACAACAAGGGCTGAATTAATTGCTAGAATCTATTTCCCATATATTGTCATGTTGTTGAAGAATTTCCATGCCTTGGAATCTCTTCCTGAAATGACCACAAGACAGCACTTGAAATGCTCAGTTTGGATTTTATCTAATGTAAACTCTCAATTCTTTGATGATTGGATCAAAACATCTGATCAAAATGTTGTTGATAACTTGGTCAAATTATTAGCTTTCTATTTGGACCATTTCGAAATCAAAGGAAGAGTTAAATACGAAACAAGTTCATTCAAAGCATTCCAACTCGTCTTTTCTAGACTTAGTAACCACCTCAAAGAAAGGGTTGTATCTATTATTGAACAGTTTAGCGATGACATCAAGGTATTTGAACCTTCACACAGAGACTTGTCATCATTCATCAAGATGGACATTAGAGATTGTGAAGGTGCCAAATATCAAACAGATAACGGTATGAGCGAGAAAGATTTCATTGGCTACATTATGTTTACAATTGCAAAAATTATGCAAATTGTATCAATAGGAAGGCAAAAGAAAGTTAGTTTGGATATGGAAGAAACTAGTATTGATTTAATTTCTTATTATGTCGAGCTTTTTACTCCAGTTTTCAGAGCTAATCCAAACAGTACTTACTGGAAATGGCTGTATGGAGCTCTTCTCTCTGGAAAGGAATTCTCTATGGCTACTGTAGAAGGTATCCTTGCAGGTGCAAGCGATACACTCTATGAAAAATTGATCAACATTTTGGAAAGAGTTTACGAAAAAGATATCATCAATGTTGACAATCTATCAAAACTATTTGATGATTCAAGCGTCGCTGAAAGCGAAATTATTCTTGATGAGGAAAACAAAATCAAGGCATCCACTTTGAACAGACTTGTTGCACGTGTTTGTGATCAGAATAATAGTGGTGATTCCAAATTTACTGACACATTCTTAGTGACCTATCGTTCTTTCTGTACTCCTGAAACTCTACTCACATTAATGATGAGCTACTTTGAATATCATGTATTGCCTAAAGGTGATCAAGAAATTAATAGTAACAATAAGACTCTTGTTCTGAGAATGTTGAACACTATAAGATTATGGGTTCAAGATCACAGTTATGACTTTAATAATTGTCTCAATGCTTCAATGATGCACTTTATCTATCAACAAGTTGGTAGATTGTGTGTTATTGAAAAATCATCAAACTCTGGTTATATTAGTATTGCTAATAAGATTAAGGAAAGAATAGAAGCCAATCTTGTTTGTAATGGCGAATCTCGTGAAAAGTTGGAAAAGATGTTCAGTCGTGAAAGACCTCAACCAAAATATCCATCCAAATGGAGTGAAGCATACGAAAAGAAAGCATTCAGTATCAAGCAATGGGATCCTCAAGAAATTGCCAAGCAAATCACTCTCTTGGACAGTGTAATTTTCACAGCCATTGAACCAAAAGAATTCTTTGGTCTTGGTTGGACAAAGAAGGACAAGATGATCAGAGCTCCAAACATTGTTCACCTCACTGATCAATTCAATAATTTATCAATGTTCGTTACCTCGGATATTGCCTGTGAGGAAAATCTTAAGAAGAGAGTAAGAAAAGTCAAACAATGGATCAATGTTGCTTGGGAATGCAAAAATCTTAATAATTTGAATGGTTGTAACTCTATTGTTTCTGCTTTCAACAATGCAGGTATTCACAGACTTAAAAAGACCTGGGATGCCATTCCAAAGAAAGACATTGAGAATGACAGATTAAGACAATTGAATGAGCTTGTCTCAATGACCAGTTCTTACAAGAATATGAGAGAACATATGTCCAGATCAGGTGAAGGTATTCCATACATTGGTATCTATTTAACTGATATGGTTTTCATTGAAGATGGTAATAAGGATTACATTACAAAGGAAAATTCCGATTTACAATTAATCAACTTTGCCAAGAGACGTAAAATTGCAGAAGTTATTCAAAGAATCAAAACTCAACAACAAACTCTTTATGATTTCATTCCAATTCCATTTTTACAAAGAACTTTTGATTTCTCATCATTGACCGATGAAGAGAAGACTAAGACATTATTATCCGATGACGTTATTTGGAACAAATCACTTGTAATTGAACCAAGAGAAAACAAATAAATTTATGCTATTACTCAACCAACAATTTTATTTAGCAGATAACTCGTTTTCTCAAGTAAATTCTCACTCTCATTGATGAGATCCATGAAATATTAATAAACCAAGTCACTTCTAATCAATTCCGATAATTAATCAATAAACAAAATGAGTCAACAACCATTGCTAACCCAAGTCAATTCAATTACAAAGGAAGAAATTGAATCAATGAAATTTATGCTTCCTCCTAGAAAGTTACTCGTCCAAAAATTAACTTCCTACATTGAGGAGGATATTCCAGCATTTGATGTGAGTGCAGCCATCGTTGGAGATTCCATCAAGACATCTACGATATTCTACAAGAAATCGAATAATGATTTCAATTCCGATACTTTACCAATTATTATGAGTGGTATTCCAATTTTGACAGTTTTATTCGAAGATTGTTTTCCAAATTTGAAAGTAAATTGGCTTGTTGGAGAAGGTGATAATTTGAATGATGAGGCAACCATTTCGAATTTATTGAAATTATATGGAAGTCTTAAATATCCAACTCAGAGTCAATGTGAGAAGAAACTTAAAGTTCCAATTGCCATTGTGGAAGGTCCTGTTTATCAATTATTACAAGTGGAAAGATTATGTCTCAATATCTTGTCACATTTGACAGGAATTTCCTCAATTTCCAGAAAAGTTCAAAATCTAGTCCTTTCAGAAATTGAAAAGAATGGAGCTAAATTCAGAGGAGAAATTGCTGCCACTAGAAAGACAACTCCTGGATTGAGACATTTCGAAAAGTATGCAGTGATGGTTGGTGGATGTAAGCCACACCGAATGGATCTATCCCAAATGGTCATGTTGAAGGATAATCATGTGGATGCATGTGGTGGATCAATTTCTAAATGTGTTAAAAGAGCAAGATCACTCTGTGGATGTAATACTCAGAAAATTGAAGTGGAATGCAGATCACTGCAAGATGCTAGGGAGGCAGCTCAAGCTGGAGCTGACATTGTCATGTTGGATAATTTCAATGCTGTGCAAGCTAGAGATGCTTCTGATGTGTTAGTTAAAGAATTTCCAAATCTTGTGATTGAAGTGAGTGGAGGATTGAATCCAGAAACAGTTTTGGAATATTTGAAGGAATGTTCGAATGTTCATGTTCTTTCGATGGGAATTTTAACAGAAGGAGGTGGAATTAAGGTTGATTTTTCAATGAAAATTACAGAAACAACACAATAAACTCTTTCAATGTAAATAAATTAGTTTGTTGTTTTTATTTTAGGTTTGGAAATCTTGGAGAGCATCATCAATATTCTTAATGAACCCCATTTGTTCGAGAATGAAACATTCCATACCAGTTCTAAAGCTTGAAGCAGTATCACTGGTCATTTCTCTTGTTAACCAATCAGCTGGAACATCTGAAGTAGTAGGATTGATAAAACCATTCAGTTCTCTATTGAATGCTGATTGGAAAGCCAATCTAGAGACTGTCCACAAATCGAAGGACGAATCACGCATAGTTTTGAAAACTTCATCAACTGTCTGAATGTTTGAAAATTTCATATTATTTTCCTCAGTGACATATTCAAAACCAGACTTTTCACCTCTAGGTGATGCCATTGGTGATGAAAGAGGGGAAGATGTAGCATAGAAAACAGACAAGTTTTCTGTAGATTCAAAACTAGAATGTGATCCAACAGATGGCAATGAAGTTGTTGAGTGAGTCTTCATAAGGACAGAGCTGGTGTTGGTCATTGATGAATAATCAATAACACCACCAGGAGTATCATTTGATGTGAGAGCTGCCAATTGAATTGTCAAAATTTGCAAAGCATCGTTTTCATCTAAAATTCTCTCTTGTAAATTCTCAAATCTAATTCCAAAGAAATCCAATGGATCAACTCCATGTTCTTTCAATGTTTTCATTGCATCAATAGCAGACATTACTCCAGCATATTGACAACTGCCATATTTACACTTTTGCAAAACACAAATACCTTTGTGATTAAGTAGGAAGGGATTTTCAAATTTGTAAATAAAGATATTTTTAATAAAAGAACTAAAAAAGGACTTACCAGAAACTCTTTGAAAGAAATCGGCTAGGTTCTTCGATTGACTAACAATATCAGACAACTTGTGAGTAATAGATGGAGTTTTCTCTTCCTTCTGTTGTTGAAGAGAATTGTTTTCAAAGGCAGTACTAGTACTCGCCGTTGTTGACACTTTGCTTGGTCTTCTACTGTCTATGATTGACCTCTTTCTCAATCCAGTTTTTATCATTACATGGCCATACTTCAATGAGGACCAAGATTTAAGTTTAAAGATCTTTATCACAATGAATATTGTCAATGCTAATAACGACACAAAGATGGGTATGATAATATCCTTATGTTGACGAAGGGATTCCTCCACAAGTGAATGTGGCAGTAAACTGTTAGCATGTGGTGCTGTTGATGGTTGCGAATTCATTATATATTGAGGTTGCAGTTTGTATTTTCTCTCTCTTAAAACTCTCAAGATGATCACAAAATCACTCGGAATTTGATGTTACACAAAAAGGGGAAGACTGTACAGTAGGGGTTGTTGGTCAGGACCTTGTCTCAAAGCCTTGTTGTTGTATTTTTTTCTTGTGTTGTTTTTAGTCTTCTTCATGCTTGAGAAAAAGCCTATGGAAGTTTTCTACTCGTTTTTGTTGGATGCACATTTTCGGTACTTGAAAAGGTTTATTGATAGACTTTTTAGAGCGATGAAAAAGTAGACTTCGCCAAAAAAGTAGGCCATCAGGATAGTTTCCAAAAAATCTTTGTAGATAGCATAGAGTTGTTGAGCCTGGAGGATGATCATGGCATGATGACAATAAATATCAACTTTTTAATGTTATTATTGATTGGATTTGAGTGCAGTATCTCGAAGAGTAAAAAGGCGAATAGTTAATTGAGGAAGAAACATAACTTTCATGAAATTCCAAATGACAATTGCACTCGTTGTAATAAAGATGAAGATCTTTACAATCATGACCCAAAAAGTAGTTTAGAGAGCCAGTTTCGTCCAGTTCCATTTTTGATGAATTCCAATTTTTGTATAAAAGATAGTTTTGAGTTGCAATCTGTGTTTGTCAAGACTTTTTTCAAGTACATTTATTCAAATTAAAATCAAATAAGAATGGATTTTTGATCTGATTATGGTGTTGATAATTTCTTAATAAATTTTAAAGGTCTTATTTAGTAGTTCGACTATTTTGCTCGATTATCTCAGATACAGATATTGCAATACTGTAGAGCTTGTTCATTGTATAATTTTAAATTGAAGAAAAATCAGCTGTCTATTTGGTTTTTATATGGAGTGAAAACGAGTCAAATGAAAAGGTTACTATTTAGAGCTGTCATGATTGTAAGGCACATCCAAACAAAAACCAGTATCAAATCCACTCGTTACCTTGTCCTTTCTGTATCCCAACTGATTACTCACAATGAGTGTCTTCTTCTTCATAAATTTACAATTGAAATGTGTGTGACCGAATGCCCAGAGATTGATATTACGATTTCTATCAATTAAATAGAGTAAATCACTGGAAAAGGCAGTTTTTAAATTGCAATTCTTGAATCTTGGATCAGAGGTTTGTTTGGTGAGAGGAGCATGATGAGTCAAGACAATTATTGTTTCATTTCTGGATTTGGATTCAATGATTTCCTTTGTGAGCCATTCCACTTCTTCCAAATGCATTTTGGTCACGTCTGTGGTTTTCAATGGACGTTGCTGACCATCTTCTTGGTCAATTATGGTAATATTCTTGTAGTCGTTAACATTTTGTGAAATTTCCTCAGAATGTTTCTCATCAATATTAGTCCACAATGTACATCCCAATATTCTCAATGATTGACCATTTTCTTCATCAATCAATAATGATGTTTTATCAAGAAATGTCACATTTTCATATTGAGAACAAATGGATTTAATTCTCTCCTTTGTAGACAATATTTCACTTATAATTGTTTTAAAAATTACAATTCCAATTTCATAATATTTACCTTCCATAAAATTCATGATTTCCAGCAATTACAAAAATCCTTCCAAATCCGTAAACATTCACACATTTTCCAATAAATTCTTCATATTTATCACTTGATGCCAGTGCAATATCTCCCAATAATGCCAACGTTTTATCATGATTTCCTTCGGAGGAGAAAACAGGCTCCAAACAATTGGCCTTCTCCAAGTGAATATCTGAGGCAATGACTAATTTCATTTTTTTAAAGTTTGGATTTTCAATTTTGAAATGAACATTTTACAATCAATGACGAATTTGATTTTTTTCAAATCTTTCAATTATGAAATGAATTGTTGTACTTTAATTAGAATTGGTTCTAACAAACGTATTGAATTAAAAGTGATGAAATGTGTTAAATTTTCACAAGCACTTCATGAATAATGTTAAAAATTCACTCAACCACAAAACTGTAAATATATCATTGTTACTTATTCACAAGTCCACTAATCATATCAAATATTTTAAATATCAAAACAAGATCTTACCTGCCGATTAGAACCTTTACAATAAATTCTTCAAAAAGCTCTTCAAAATCCTTTTCAGAATGTCTTTCCCACTTTCATCCGTCTCGTCCTTTTTCTAATTTCCAATCCGGTAACTTTTACTCGTGTTGTCTCTTGTCCAACACCTTTTTGCTGTTACAATCTGTCAATTGTTATTTGATTTTATTGACAATAAACCAGTACCCACCACTTCCGATCTATCAATGTATATTGTATTGTGTTCATTCAGTGATCCTCAACACAATCTTCATAGCAAAGCCTTTGATGAACACTTGCAAAAAACAACACAGAAAAAAAAAGGCTTGCTTGAGGTTACGCACCGATTTTTATCTTATTATTGCACCAGGGGAAGAACAGAGAGCAAGAAGTTAATAACACTTGAAAAGTATAATAACAAACATAATCGGAGAAGTAAAATGGTCATTGATATTAGTCCTAGTTCATTCAAGAGAGTTGGTGTTGTTTATAATCCAATTTCAAGAGGAGGTAAGTAAAATAATTAGATGGTGATAATTAATATATGCGATGATCAAATTATCAATTAATAATAGGTCAATCTGGAGCCTTGTTTAAGAATACAATTCATCCACTTCTTGACAAATATTTGAAGGAACGTATGGTAAAATGTAGAGCCACTGAAAGTATGGGTGATGGCAGTAGATGTGCTTTTGAATTGGTTGTTGAAGATAAATGTGATTTGATTATCACACTTGGTGGTGATGGTTCTACACAAAATACTCTCAACGGTTTAGTGAGAGGTTGTTTGTATTTGGATCCTCAAGCTTTGGCAAAGGGTGCACCACTCCCAGTTGGTTTGGCAGTTATTCCAACAGGATCTGGTAATGATTTGCAAAAGACAATCGGAGGTGAACCAGTTGACGTTTATTCAGAAGCATTCTTTGAAAGAACTGTCAAAACTATTGCAGAATCAGGCAAAGTTGTTTATGCAGATATTGGTAAAGTTGAATATACCAAAGATAATACTGGTATTATTTTGCCAGCATTGAATGACGAACATATTCCAAAACAATATTTGAGCAATGACAGTTCTAAGAAACTTGCTTATCAATTTGATAGTGAAAATACTGGTGTTAGATTCTTTATGAATGAAAGTAGCTTTGGTATCAGTACTTCAGTTTTGAATGCTGTCAACAATAGTACCATCAGCAAGGAGATCAATTATAATGTTCAAACTTTGTGGAAACAACTTACCTTTGTTAATCCATCGATTGACGTTGAAGTTGATGGAGAGACTGTTTATAGTGGCATTTCTCAATTGGTTTGTGTTGGTAACGGCAAGGCCTTTGGTAATGGCATGTATCCAAATCCTAATGCAACAATTACAAGTGAAAACTTGTCCGTCTGTATTTTACATAACATTAGATTGTGGAATGTATTTTCAGTTGTCTATTCTTTGAAGGCCGGAACAATTGGTTCATATGCATTGGCATCTCTTCTTGAAGGAAAGAAATCTTTGAAAGCAAAGAGAAGTGAATCCGAAACTCAAGATGTTTATTTGGAATGTGATGGTGAAGTTGTTGGTAAATTGCCAGCTCAATATGATGTTGTTCCAGCAATTATTAAAATGATTGTTCCAGAAAGCTCACCAGAATATGAACTCCATAGCAAGAAGAATCTCTAAATTAGCACCATAACCTAGAGTTGTACAATATTCAAGAGAATACCAATTTTGACATCCAATTTGCGAAAAACATTAATGTATTATAAAAACAACAATCTTATTTATTCTAAAAAAGTACTTGTTATTGTTTACGAAGATAATAAATAGATCAAAATGTTGCTGTAAAGAAAGTATTTATTTCAGTAACACCTTGTACTCATCAATCTCTCCTTCACATAATTCCTCTAATTTTTCCTTTCTTTCTTTGTGATCCTCAAATGCACCTTCCATATCGTATTCACTGTATAGTCTCTTCTTGATAAATAATTTCAATTCATTTCTGTCATTTTGGGTAGTATTTACATTGTCATTGAGATGTTTCAGCCACAGGACTTCAAAACATTTTCTGAGTTGAGTATCAGAGAGTTTTGTGAGTGGCTTAGCTCTAGCTTTAAATTCTTCAAATGTTTCTCCTTCCTTTTCGTCTGCCTTTCTCTTAGCTGCTTTAAATATTGGACCACATACTTCTACATCAACCTTATTTCTCATTAATTGGAATTCATCACCAGGGTTTTCCACAGTAACTTCATAGCATTCTCTTGGTTCGTAGGTCTTTTCTTCCACATTTTGAAGAGCATTATATCCAATCAAACTCTTTTGTTCCTTGTAACCCTTGATGGCATATGTATAAATTGCAAGGAGGAGTTTTCTTCCATGTCCTTGACGTTGGAATGGAGGCAATATTAAAAATTGACTCACTCTCAATCTTCTCTTATCTTTTAATACACCATCTTCTTTCTTCAGGGTAAAGAATGGATATATTGATGAGAAACCAACAGGTATATATTCGAAATTATTTTCATGATCCTTAATTTTTTCATATCTGAAAGAAGAGTCAATTTAAATTATTCATGTTGAAAACTTACACTAAAAAGAATTCCCATAGATTATCTTGATCATCAATATATGAAGTTCCTTCAATAAAGAATAGACACAAGAATTGCCATGGTTTGTGAAGTGCTGCAATTTGTGACATTGTACATTTGTAAATTTCAAAAACTTTTCCATCTCTATAATAAACATCAATTTGTTCTCCTTTTGGTGTATTTGGTTGATTTATCTTGGATTTAAATTCAGATAAATTTTCAGTATATGGGAAGTAGAGAGGGACTGCACTAAATTCCGAGAATTGAAATTCCAACTCCTTTGCAGCAAAGATTGATTTAACATCTGTTGCGTCATCACTTTATAAAATCAGTTAAGTTATCCACTTTCCAATAAAACCTACCTCTTAGTGTCATACTGAACGTTAAACCAACAGTATAATGATTTAGTAAAATAGAAATTAATTCGGAGGTTCTCATAACCATCTAATACATTGTTATTATCATATAACAATCAAAACATACCAATTTTTTCCTCTTCTCCAAATAATTGATAGGTGAATTGTGGATGGAATTCCATCAATTTATGATGATGTTCTACATCATTTGTATCAATGTATTGTTGTTCAATATCGGATTCGTTTCTGACAAGACGGAAGCGAATAACATCGTTGGCACTACACGTTAATTCATCATCACGGCTTACATCTGATGCTTCATCTTGTTCTTCAAAATCTTCAAGATCATCTTCATGGGATTCAGCACCCTCCATCTCAACCATCTTGTTTAACTTGTTAAACTTTTTGGTTTCTTGTGAAGTATTGTGAATACTGCTTCCGCTATCGGTGAGTTGTTCTTCGTTGGTTGCTGTGCCAGAAATTGAGAGCTTCTTCTTCTTTGCAAATGGTTCCATTTTTTTTTGGTTTTTCAACAATATTTGGCGCTAAACGATTTCATTTGGCGGGAAGAAATTCCTAAAATTTGTGTAATAATCCATTTCAACAAAATTAAACTGAATTTGTTAGCTAATTGATTCAATAAATAATGAAATCTTTTATCTTTATCTTCTGAATCTTAAATTTGGCATGACAGCTGGCTTTAAATGTTGATAATGTTGAGAGCTAGTTCTTCCTTCTCTAATTCTTCTCATATGATCATTAGATCTTACTGGACTGCGTCTTGGAAATCTAATTGGTTCTCTACCACCAATAGTAATTGGTTCAAGCACTCCACCAATTGGTTGAACAGATGGACTCCTTTTTATAGGATACTTTGGTTGGACCAAATTCTTTCTAATTTTCTTCATAAAAGCGTCTGATCTCTTTGGTGACATGAATCCTCTTTGGCCAGCTCTTGGACTATTCTTTCTATTATATTCTTCTCTAATTCTCTTCATGAAGGAATCAGATCTCTTTGGGGACATGAATCCACGTCCTCTCTTAATAACTTTTGGATATCTTTCTCCAATTTCTCTTCCTGACCACTTTTTGGAATCGTTTGGCTTTTTGGTCAAAATATTTAGAATTTGATTTCTTCTTTTAATCTATGTTGAATATATTTCAGAATAAATTGTTATACTGTGAGATGAATAGTCCAAATTGATGATCAACTTACCATTCCATTTCTTTCTCTCAATTGACTAACAATCTTTCCATCAAGGAAGAAGCCAAGACTTTCCCATCCTTGTTTTTCAAAACTGTCATCAGTTTGTTGTGCAAGAACGACAACATTCAACAAGGCGAAAAGGACAACCACAACTGCCACAGCAATCTTCATCTTGTTAATTTTTTTGCAATGGTGGTTACAACCTTGCCATATCAAGATTGCTTCCTTCATTTCAACCTAATTGGAGTATTCGATTATAATGACTGTTCTTTGAGTGAAGAAATGGATATGATCTTTACAATTTACAATTGCAAATAAATGGGTGATTTGGATGGACAAATTGTTTGGAAAAATGTCTTGCCCATCTGCTCATAGATTCAGTTTCAGTTTTTGTCAAGTGAATTTAAGGGAGTGCCTTAGTGAACATCACCTGATACGTTCGCCTAACCTTCCCAATTCAATAGTGGAAGCATAAACTCTCTTCAATGGTTATTATCATTATGCTCTTTTTTTGAAAACCCAATTATTTCAAAATGAAACAGTTCATCACTCTGATAAATGAAAACAAGGCGTTCGTTCTGTTGATTCAAGATGTTTTATTCAACACCAGATTCGTTTCTTAGAAGTGAATAGCATTGTTTGGAAGAAGCCAAAACCATCATCTGAAAAATTACAAATGAATCCCTAATCTCTATTCAAAATCTCCATCTAGATTATTGTATCCATCACGTTTACAATTCACTACGGAAGCTCAAATCTTATTAATAACAACATCACCAAGAACCGAACAAATCTTTTATCTGACCGTTCCTTAACAATTTACAGTTCTTTTTTTTAGTATTTTGGGTTTGTCTCGCCATTTATTACAGCTGCTAAAACCTCAACTTCCGCAAGAAGCTAGGCCTTTGATTGGTCTCACCAAAGCAAAAATGCCCTTAAAAAAAAAGACACCCATTTCTTGTTACTTGGCTGCCCTTTTGCGCGTTTTTTTTGCAACTCATCACCCTCTTGAGCCAGTGACTTTGTATTAATATATATTGGCGGAGAAGAATATAGCAATAATAATTTGATTCGGACTTTGTGTTCTTGTGTGATAGTAGTAGTATTTGTATTTTTTGATTGTAGTAGAATAGTCTCTCATTATCATTTTGACAAGTTTAAAGTGGACGTTATTTCATCATCAGCATCAGCATCAATAGAAAAGGTTTCGAACCTGTATAACTGTCATCTTGAATAATTATTTAATTACTGTATAATATAGAAATGTTTTATGCCGCCGGAGCTAATGAACATGGTAGGTTATTAGTAATAATTAAATAGTAAATTGATGGAATATCAAATTAATTTATAGGTCAATTGGGGAATGGTACTTACTCGAACGTTATGGATCTCTCTCCCATCAACATATCAGCTCATCACTATAGACAAAAAACCTATCGTCAGCTAGGTCCCAAATGTCTTGCTGATTTTGCATCACTCGATGAACGTTCATTGATTGGTCTTTGTAAAATTAAACAAATTGCTTGTGGTAAACGTCATACCATGATACTAACTGGTAAGTTATTGTATCACAGCATGTTCAAGCTAATTAAACTATTTAAATAGAGGAAAATGATTTGTATGCTTGCGGAGATAATTCCAACTCTCAACTTGGAGTCTATGAAACAATATCCAATAATACTGTTGAATGGATAGATTTTGAACCCGCTAGGACGTCAAGAATTACCTCAATTGCTTGCAGCTCTAATTCTTCCTTTATATTTTTGGAAAATGGTGAAATGTACAAAACAAGTCCTAACAAAATCTCTAATTTATCCCACAAAAATTCATTTTTCAAACTTACCATCGATAGCAAGAGCCAAGTGAAGAATTTCTTTAGCTCACCAACAACGAGTAGATTCCACATACTAACCAATGATAATTCTGTATTTGTAGGAGGGGAAGATGAGCAAGGTTTTTGGTTGTCAAGACAAGACCAAGCTCTGAAACCGACATCATTCCCTATCATCACCAACCCAATTAAAATAATTTCAAGTGGAGGTTTCCATACAGTCATTATTACCGAGAAGAATGAATATTTCAGTTTGGGAGGAAATTATTTCTATCAACGAGGTGACACAGATGATAGAGCTGCCATTAGAGAAGGTACTAATTTACCATTCTCTGGAAAGGCTATTAGTCAAGTTTGTTGTGGACATTTCCACACACTAGTGTTGTGTGCAGATGGAAGCTTGTATGCTTGTGGTAAAAACAGTCATGGACAACTTGGAAGCCCAACCCTCAATGAAAAGAATCTCTACATGAAAGTACCAATTAATGCCTATATACACTCAATGCTTTGTGGAACAGACCATACCGTATTATTATCAACTGATAAGAGAGTTATGAGATGTGGAAAAAATGACAGAGGGCAAATCTTTATAGATTTCAAAAAGCAAAACTCATCATTTGAAATGCTGAAAGTCAAGGAGTTTGCCCATTTGGCTTGTGGTGCTCATTTTACAATATGTTATGGAGACATGACCTATGTTATTAATCGTTTCCCAAAGATTGCTTCATTTCTGAAGAGAACAGAACTATCTGATGTGAGGATTAAGTGTTATGACGATTAATCAATTTTGAGACATTCACAATAAAAATATTTGCAAACAAAAGAATTAGACTTCCGGAAAAACTTTATATTACATAATTATGGACTTAATTTCTAAATTAATCAAATTAAATCAGTAAATTAATCAGCAGAATTAATATGCTTAATTATGATCACATACAAAAAAGTAAACGTAGCTCAGAGACTTTTTGTTATTTGTATTTCTTTTATTGTTGGTTGGTATTGAGAATATACGATAGTTTGTGTTTAGGTTGATCTGGTAAACTATCTGAAGATTTGGAAAATGTTGAGTGTTTTTGTTTTTCGGTAGTCCATCTCTTAAATGAATCGAAAATGATATTATTCACGACAATATCCTCCAAACCACTAAAAAGTTCCTGCTGTCCAATACCACTATTAATTTTGTATCTATATGAATCCAATTCTGTGCTTGAAATATTCAGCAATTTTGGAGCGTTTGGAGCCAAATACTTTTGATACATTTCCTTCTGCAGTTCACTTCTTTGCTGTAAATTGTTCAGCATCTTGTAGAATTGAACATCTTCCAAGAAGAGTATGGATTCTTCATTGTGCTCCTTAATACAGAACTCTTTAAATTCATTTCTCTTGGTGTGGTTGTCGAACATTTCCTTAAATTCAATTTTTTCTACGAGTTTGTTGTATTGGGTTTCCTTTTCCTTCAAGTGCTTCAAGAGGGATGTTTTATCTGTATGGTTGTGGATGAGAAGGACGCAAACCAAAATATAATCAGAGATTTCTTCTGTTGACTTATCCTCTGATTGATGCTTGTTTGCCTCAGTTTTGAGCATTTTACAAAAGTTGATAGAAACTCTCACATTGAACTCAATGCCCACCTTACTAGAGGCAACAGTTTCAAGATCGTGGAATGATGCTTCATCTCCTTCAGTGAGGGCTTTTTCAAACATTTCTTTCAAATTGAGTTTTGGTAGAATTGAATTAATGATAGTTGACCTATCCTTTTCACCTCTTCTCAAATCAATTTCTGTCAGTGAAAACATGTTGTAGAATGCATTATTACAGTGAATAATGGATCCATCAGTTAGAATTGTAATGACAGCATCATCGATGGTGTTCAAAATTCTTCTTGTTCTCTGCTCCTCGAGAGAAATCTTATCCAATAGCACAGATAATTGTTGATGACTCTGAGCTAGATCTTTCGTCCTCTCTGCCACCTTAATTTCTAATTTGTTTTGAATGATGAGGTATTCCTTCTTTCTAAAATAGTCCTGAACCAATTGGAAGACTGCCAGAATGACTAGAACTGCCAAAATAAAATTCAAAACAATACCAAAAGCAATTTCCACATAGTAGGTATCTTCGTGGGTCCATCCTTGTAAAGGTTTTAACAAGAGTTTGTATTCGCTATTGAGAATGGTCATATTTACAGAGATTGCATCATCAATGCTAGTCAAGTTGGTAGTGATACCATTTGTTGTCATGTTGGTACCATTTCTGGCCTCTAAGAAAATTCTATTTTGTTCATATTCATATAATTGATATTCATAACCTTTGAGAGTATCATGGAGGTTGATTCTGTTGAATAATGTTGTAAAATAGATGATTGAACTCGATAATCCCCAAAATGTTTGATTAGGATAAAACAATGGGTACTGTGTAATGAGAGCAGCTGTTGCTAATCTCTTAATATAGATTGGTCCAAAGATTGTAGTTTCCTTCAGTTCAATTGCTCTGTTGATGGCTCTCAAGTGAGCTGCTTCACTACCAACAACCTTTCCATAAACAAACGAAAGAACAAGTCCCTTGTCAATTTCGAATTGTGCTAATTCCGGATAAATTACATTTAACCTCGAACCAAGGTCTGCAAATGAAGAATCCGTTATTGTATAATTTGATGAATAAATTACTTGAGCAATTGAAACTAAACTACTCATTGACAATTCTATTTGTCTTTTCATGGCCAAGTAGGCTGTTAATCCCACCTGTGTAACTTGTGCCTTCTTTGTTTCCATTCTATTATCATCAACAGTTTTTAAAACGACAGACGTCACCGGCACAGTCACACACAAGGCAACCAATGCCAGAACTAAACCCAATATTATACTCAATATATAGACTCCTCGTTGTCTTTTCGATAATTCTTGTTTCAAATTTCCTACAACATTTTCACTTGTTGAAAGAGCTTGTTTAGATTGTTTTAATGTTGGAGTTGAATCTCCAGCCACAGTTGGCCCAATTTCTTCGTCTATTAGCGAATCCAGCACCATTTGAATGTTGTGAGAGTGAATCTACAAAATATATTAAAAAGTGAGAAGAAGAATCAGTGTTGGCTTCTTTTTTTCAAAATTGTGTTGGAAATGTGATGGATGCTTTTTGTATAACACAATGATATTCTCTTATCCACACTATTAAAAATACTACTACTACTATCAAATATATTCAAAAAACAACTCTAAAAGGCTAACTCCTTCGCTACTAGAAATATTATTGTTATCGGTTGGAGAGTTTGTTTTTTTGGCGCGAATTTTTCAAAGCGAAAAACCAACAGGTTTGTGTTCTTTTTTTCAGAGTTGAAAAGCGGTAACTTGTTCCAGCTGGAAAGGAGAGCTTGCACCTTCTTTGTTAGAAAAAGTAACATGAAAGTGTTGAATGAATGGGAATTATGAGAGACTATGAAAATGCATGGAGATGATTGGTTGACAATTTGGCAGTGATGTTGATTTTCGTGAACTCACGTCGTAGTGTTGATTCTGTCTGTGGTAACCAAGTTGAGAAGGTGGTTGGACAAATAGCCAGTTAAGAGAAAGAGTTACCATTTCAATTATTATGGCAAAAAACATTGTTGTTTTTAACAAGATGTAAAAACTGTATCTGTAATGGAGTGAAAACATTGTATGCAAGGAAAATAGTGTTGTAGTCATTGAATTACTGTTGTAATAACATGTTGAAAGCCATGTTTTAATTTGCAATTGCTTACAGTCACTGTCGATTGGGAAGTCATTTTAGATGTAAAAATGCACAAGGTAGCTTACAATGTGGAAAATAAAAAGGTTAAAGAGAATAATTGCATGAACCCGTTGGATTTCCAAATGTGGTGTTTGTTACAGGTTCATAACCACTATACATATTTGGATGATTTAAAAAACAATAAGGAAGGAATTCAATATTTGAGGAACGATATACTGTTTGATGTGGTTTACTGTAAACAGTTCGATATCGATTGCATGAGTCCAATTTATTGTATTGTTTCAATTTCTCATTCTTTCTAATAACCAGCAAAGCCAACCGATGAAAACGCCATGTTCAACCAACTCGAATTTCACATCAAAAGTTTTTAGTAATCCCCCTCATCAAGACAAACAAGTCAACTCTTTTTTTCATATTTGAATATGAGTGCTCACGCCTCCATTGCCTCGTGCTTAATGGACCAACAGGAAGACACATCAGCTAAGGGCATCCTCAATTGTGAAAGAATTTTGCCTGTACGGATAAATATGGATGAATTTCTATTGAGCATAAGTCTCCAATTGGAGTGTATCCAAACAGAGATGATGCACGTACAGGAAGAGGCACAACAGATTCAAGCTTGGTCAAGGGCGAGTTGTGTGTGTGATTTGATGATGCCTCGAATCGAGAGCTCTTACATCAGCAACAGCTACTACTCTTGAGGATATAGGCAGCATCCTTTATATAGAGACCATCAAGAAAAAAACAACAACAATCTCATACTCATTTACCTTAGATCTTGTTAAGAATGGGTGGATGTGCCAGTATGTGTTCTAGTAATGTACACGTTCCATCATCAGTGAGAAGGGACTGTTATACTCAATTAACAAAGACTTGTAGTACTGGAAGCGTTTGTAAGGAGAGTTGCTTTTCTACAACAACATTCAAGATTAAACACATCAAATCTTTGGATGATATGTCTTCGACAGCTAATTGTTGGGAAAATGTTAATCTGCTCTCTAATAGAAGTAGTCTGAATCAATCAGTAATGCTTACTAATCAAGGTGTTCCAGTTCTAATGCTCTCTTCATTTTCTTCATCCTACTCTCCATCTTCAAATGCTAGTGTTTGTTCTTTTAGATCTAAAATTGAAGAACTGCCTCCAATCACATCTAAGAATACTCCAATTAAATTACCACCTCTTGCTCAATCAACTGTTGAAGAAGCATGCAATACATCTCCAATCAAGAAATCCCACATTCCTTTCATTCTCATTCATGAATCCTCAGCCTCTAAGTTAAGCCCACCAAATACGTTGCCTTCGTTGGACTATGATTTCCTAGTGCCTGAAAGTTGAATGCAGTAACCCTTAATCGGAAGGAAGAGTAAAGTTGCAACTTGAGAATAAGGAATGAGAAGAAGCCAAACGAGACCTCAACAATTTGGTAATGATAACTGTTGCTTGAGGACATACAAATAAGGTTCTAATATTTCTATGCTAGTATTTGAACATGCCTTTATTGAAAAGGCATTAATAAAGACACTAACTGTTTAACTGGAATGATGAGTCAATTTGTGCCTTGATTTCATACTAGCAGAATACCAACAGTTGATTGTATAATTCAATCCCTCTCTTACGTTTGATGGAAATAATGTGATAAATGTTAAAATCCGAATTCGGTGCGTGGCTAAGGGTCATTGAAGTGTCGATTGACATTAAATACACGACAGAGAAAAGTAGATTCGTGGCTATATTCAATGGTTATCAGAGTTGGATATTATTATACTCTCCATTTCGCTTATCTCTCCTATTCCGACTTAATGATGATTGGAATCTTAATTGTGTCCTTTCATTGTCTACGATAATGTCTCTTCGCAACAAACAAATAAACAATATGAAACGACCCCTAAAACCCTATTTTCCTCAATGCCATTAATAACATAGCTCTTGTCTCTAGTCAATTATTGCAATGTCACTTGACAAGATATTTTACCTCAATGAAATTAAAGTAAACTCATAGCATTCTAATAGGTCTATAATGAACCTTATCCCAAGCTTCACAATTGTGCCTCTCAACATGTTGAGACGTTTAAATCAAGTTCTCTATTCCATCAACCACAACCATTTCCAAATCTAAATCCACAACAACAATCTGAACTGTGTAAATTGAAATCTTCCTCAACAAGCAACAACAACTCCTCAATATCAAAGCTTGCCAGCACAAACAAACTCGTCCAAGCAATCATCACCTCAAAACAAGGATGGAACTTGTAACTCATCAAAAAAAAATAGTGCACACTGAACTCACTCTACAGGTGTGTTCACACTTCCGTTAGCCTCCATAAAGACATCAACAACAAGCATTTTCATTCATCACCATCATCATTCCGAGCCAATACAATAATAATTTTTCTGTGATTAGAGATGAGTGAGAATAATACACCAAACTTTGACGCATTCTCTCCAATTGTATTTCCAATGGATCTGCCAACGGCAGGTGGTAGTAATCAAACATCATCATCAGCAGTCGGTGGTGGATCATCATCATTGGGTTTGAATACATCGAGCAATTTTCTAACACCTTCAGTCTTTGAAACGAATGTAAGAGTTGGCGTTAATCAAACTTCAAGTATTAAACCGATTAGAGCTGTGGGTCTTGATGCTTTTAATAATGATACTTCATCGGTGCCAATTTCTAATGAAGAATCACCACAAATATTTACACCAGGCATCACAGCTGAACTTTTAAATACACAAACACCAAGGATTCAACTTTTACCTCCAACTCCAACACCAAACGAAACTCCATTCGCAACCAAGATTGACAATCTTTATCCACAGCAGGTTGATCCATTGAGCAACTTTGATTTTGGACAAAAGAATCATAGACCTGTAGGTGCTGCAAATATTGTGACACAATATCCTGCCAATACTTTTAATATGCATGTCATGAAGGGTTTCTTTATTGATCCAAGTCAAGTTGCCGCAGTTCCACAAGGTATGCCACAAATTCCAGGTCCCAGTAGTGATTCGCCATCGTCACCAACTGGTGAATGTCTTCCAACTGGTACTTTACTTTCTGTTATTAGAGGATTTAGTATTGATGATGGAGTTCCAGAAGAACCTGGTGGCAGAGACAATAAGAAACCACTCACTTCACACACTGTTCAAGTTAGAATTGCTGACCTAGTTGCCGAACATCCATTAGGTCCAAATCAAACCTACGTAATCAAATGTGTATTATTAGGTTATAAACGATATGAAAAGGAAGAATTATCAACATTAGAATCAATACCAATTGAAAATATTGATAACCCTGCAGAGTATGAAGAATTTGTCTTTAACAATCTGATTGTTAAACAAACAAGTCACAGCAATGGTCAAAAGTTATTCTTGAGATTTAAACTTGAAATTAATTCTGATAGTGGAGAACAAGTATTGGAAGCTTTAGATACTACACACTTTAAAACAGTCACAAAGAGAGCTGTCATTAAAAGAGGTGTAACTAGGAAATTGAGCGAGCAAAAGAAGACAGCAACTGTATTGACAGGAGCAGAACCAAAATACAGTGTCACTTCTGGTGGTCAATTGATAAAACTGGTAACAAATAACATGCCAGAAAAGGTCAGAGTTCAAACAATTGTAGTTAAATTTGGAGAAAAGAAAGCCAGAAGAGTTCACTCAGCTAGGGATAATGTAATTATTTGTGAAACACCTGAATATCCAAAATCTGACAATGTACCAATTTCTGTTTCATTAGATAGTGGAGCAACATTTTTCCATTCGTCTGGTGTTAAAATGTCGTTTATTGACCCAACTGATGGATTACCAGATATCACTCCTCACAGTCAAACATTTGTTGTGAACTTTGCTCAGGCTGCCAGTGACCTTAAACATGACAGAGATGAAGATACCGAACCAAATAATAAGAAAAAGTCTAAGAAATAAATGTAAATTTAAACAAGATTTAAATTCTTCATATCATCGTCATATTTCTTCAATTCTCTAACCATGTCAATAAAGTTAGAGCTCAGAATAAATCTTGACCATGTATCTTGAACACAATTTAAACAGGTTATTTCTACATTATCAAGGATGGTATTTAAAAGGTCAGTGTTGCTGGATTGCCATGATGAATCCCCTTTCTCTGTCATTTCTTGATCTCCACTTTTGTTGAGATGGGTTTCCACGAGTTGATTGAGTTGCTTAAGAGATCTATCAAACTCCTTCTTTACATTGGATGAAAGATTGAGCTCGAATGGTGCACCATTGACAATAAAGCTCTCGTTGAGTTTGTGTAATATTTGTGTTTTCTTTCTGATATCCTCAAAGGTATGAGTTGGAAGATTGTTGAAAACCTTATTGGAAAAGTACAAGAATAAAAAGTTCTCTGCTGAAAACTCCAATTCGCACCATTCTTTGAAATATTTCTGACAAACCTCCTCATTAAACATGACAAAGAGAATGACACGAGTATCAACAATTCTTTCATCTTGCTCTTCTGCATTTTCCTTTGTAAGAAATCCAGCTTCAGTGTAGAGAATCTTTCTAATTCTATCATTTTCCATATCGGAGGATAAATCTCTGAACAAGTTGCTACTACCACTTCTATCAGCAGAATTATTCTTATTCTTGATTCCAATTTTCTTGCCGTCAGAGTTTTGCCATAAGAAACTTCTAATCAAAGGTATCCATACACTGATGATACTTGTAATGAAGAGAGGAATATTAACCATCCATGCAGCTGCAAAGTAATATTCAGGTTCTGCTTGGTATTGTGGAATGACACTCATTAAAATAAAGCCAATTAAGAAAATGGCCCAAATTACCACAACAGATACCAACTCTGCCTTGATGCCAAAGGATTCCTTGGCATATCTCATTACCTTGTAGAAGAAGAATAGAATGAAAATACCATAGAATAGAATGAGAGAAATTGAACCTGCATATACAGGAATAGTAGCAGCACAACCCACATTCCAAGTTTCTTGACCTGTCAATCTATTCAAAAACACTCCACAATAAGCCAAAAAGATAATACTGTTCAAGAGGAAAGTGAATAAGAAAATTTTAGCAGTAAAGTCCTCTCTAGCCAATTTTCTCAATTGCTTCAATCTCTTTTGTCTCTTTTCTGACCATTTCTTACTCTTGGCTGTATTGTCAACATTTCCACCTAAATGCAAAGCACTTTTCACTCTCTCCTTAAAACTCTTCGATGTAGAACTATCTCTTTTAAGGTGTGGAATGTTTTGTGAATTTTTTCTATCCAGGGCAAGGTCGAATGAACCTGTTGTGGAGACAGTTGCTGGTGAAGCATCTGTTGTTATCTGTGAAAGTGAAGAATTTGCAGTCAACAAATGTATTTGAGAAGATGATTTGTCAAGCTTCTTTTCCGTTGTTGATGATGTTTCCAAAAGATCAACGCCCATGGAAACTAAATGACTCTTAAAACTATCACCCTGTAATCTGTTCATTTCAGAAATATAGTACAATCTGATGCACAAGACAAGGTATGGAATGGCTATCAGTGGAAAGCCATAAAATTGAAAACTCAAATAGAATATACAAGGGAAGGCCTCTCTTTTCACAGCCAACCTCAGAGAAAGTATCGTAAAGGAAAAATAATGTGCAATAATTAATATAAATACAAATAGTGAGGATCTCGCCTTGACAGGTTGTTTGTTTCTTCTAAAGAAGAATGTTATGAGTGTTACGATTGTATATATTGTGAATGCTCCCCAAATTGCATATGATGTGTACCAAACGTATGGTGGATCATCTCGTGTAATCTGTTGATTAAATTGGTCCTGTTGAATATCATAGATTTTTCCAATTTCTTCCAAATTATTCGAAAGTTGAAAATGACTCGCCGATGCTGATGATGATGTACACGTGAACATATTCATTATCCTATTCACTATCGATTGTGAAAGGAAATCCATCGTGGTTAATAAATATCTCATCTCCTACTATTATACGAAGTGATTTAAATCTATTTTGTTATTATATATATTATTCTACAGTTTGTTCGCTTCTCGAAAAGAAAGTTAGAGGTCAATCAAAAGGCTCTTTGCAAAAATTCCAACCTCCTCTAGCTATGGTTATAGACTCTTCGCGAAGGTTGTTGTGGGTTTTTTTTCTTGATCTTCTCTTGTTGAAAGATGAAGATGATAATCAAAGGCCTGGAATGCTGTGCAGCTTTGAATGGATGTTGTTTGGCGCGCAAATTTATGAATAAAAAAAAAGTTGTTTTTTATTATCCGTTAAAGGAAGCAGAGGCTGCTTTGTTTATATTGTATATTGCAAGGTTGAAGCCGACCGGTTAATTGGACCAATCATTTCATGCATTTTGTGTATTAGATTCCAATGAATTGAGGATTTTTGAATCAATTGTTGTAAACAGAAAGTAGTGGTTGAATATCGTTGTGTGTTCGGAAAGGAAAGAACAGAGTTGTTTTGATAGAAGAACTTTACGGAACGAAAATTGAAATTAAATTGAAAGAGATTTTTAAGAAGGTTTCAGGAGTTTGGAGAAGGAGTTTCCAGTAAGAAAGGTGTTGGAAATTGAAGCTATTTGACGATTACCTAATTGAATATGATCTCTACAGTGCTTTTACAAAATTCTTATTATTTTTAATAATAATCTAATTCTAAATTATTAATTAATTATTGAATAATTTAACAAATTTTAAAAAAAAAGAAAAATGATGGGAAATGTGATTTTGGAGTTGGATAGAAATATTTCATCGGAATTTCTAAAGGATCAATTTTCAAGGACTTGCAAATTGAATTATTTAAAAACTATAATATTTCAACTTGTTGTGATTAGAGATAAGAAGTGCCTCCCTCTTGTTCAATTATTTAGTCATGATCGAGGATTTATTGAAAAGATGGTCGAATATCAGGCATTTGCTCTTGGCTATGCTTCAAAAGAAATTAAAAAAGACAAATCGATAGCAGTTAAGGCATTGAAAACAAGTGGACACTCAATATCTTGTGTCGATGAGTCGTTATATTCCGATCGAGAAATAGCTCTTATTGCACTATCAAGTCATTCCTATGCCATTCGTTTCTTTATGGAACACTTTTCTAATGATAAGGAGATAATCATGAATGCAGTTTCGAAATGTGGTAACTTAATTCATTATGCTACATATTGTGATTTGGATATTATATTGGCTGCTGTGACAACGTACGAGCTTGCATTTGAGCTTGCCGACCCAAAATATTATTTTGATAGAGAAATAATGATGGTAGCGGTTACAAGGAATGGAATAACTCTTAGATATGCAAGTGAAACATTACGAGAGGATAGAGAAATAGTTCTGAAAGCTGTGAAAAATGCTGGAGATGCTTTGAGATATGCCTTAGTACAAGATAGAGAAATTGCCTTAGAGGCAGTAAAATCTTCTGGTACAGCGCTTCAGTTTGTTGACAAGAATTTCCTTAGCGACTCAGAAATAGTCATGATAGCTCTTCATTCAAATGGTTCTTCTTTACAGTATCTACCTAAAGAAATGAGAGAAATAAGGGAATATGTTGAAGCTGCAATTTCTGAAAATCCTCTGTCAATTCAATATGCTAGTGAGGTGTATAAATCAGATAGAGAGCTAGTTAAAAAGGCTATATCCGAAAAGGGAAATATTTTAGGATATGTTGACAAGAAATTTCTGAAAGATGAGCAAATTGTTTTTTTGGCTGCTTTAAACAATCCTATAACCTTCAAATACGCAGATGAAAGTTTACGGTCTAATCTGAATTTCATATTGGACATTATAAGGACTTCAAAGAAAACAAATGTATTAATGAGCTATTTGCCGGCCCCTGGTAGCATTAACATTTATAATGATAGAGAGTTCTATTCAAAGATTCCTATCGATACACATTTTATTAAGGAGAAAATTAGACTTTGTGGATTCAAGGCTACATTTGAAGAGTTTAGTTACAGTAAGGAAATAATTACAGAGATGGTCAAAGATTACATGACACTTGCTTTTATTAATGAAGGACTTCAACAAGATAGAGAAATGCTTCGAACTGCTCTTAATCTTAATGGTGAGCTGATTAGTGAAATGCCTTTCATTATTGACAACTTGGATATTGAACTGATTCAAGTATCATTAATTTCCCTTCTTTCTGGCAGCGATGATAAAGAAAAGGAAATTATCCATCAAACTCTACAATTAATCCAACATTCACAACAACTTTAAAAGGATACTCATTGTAATGGATAATAATCAACTATTATCAAAATATCAAAAAAAAAATGAGCGCACAACCTTCACAAATTCTCTACAAGGATCTTTTATCAGGAGATGTGCTCGTTACCAATTATTATAAAATTGAAAAGGTATATCATGGATGTATCTATCAAGTAAAATCACATTTCATGATCCGAGAACCATCAGCCTTTGATGTATCATCACATTCCGAAGCATTAAAATCATCAGGATCATCAACTCCTTCATCTCCTTCACCTTCTTCCACCTTCTCTGATATTAAAAAATCTATTCGTTATTCTATTGTGGAAAAATTTGGATATCATGAATGCGCATTGAAAAAGAAGGAATTTCTCATGATTATGAATACCTACACAAGTACACTCAAATCAATTATTGAAGATACAGGAGATGAGGAGAAACAAAAAGCATTTCTAATGGGAACAACACTTTTTATTCAAAGTGTACTGTCAAATTTCAATAATTATAGATTCTTTATTGGACCATCCAATCAAATGAATAAGGGAATGGTCATTGTACAAAATTGTGCCAATGATTTACTGACACCAGAATTCTACTACTTTGTTGATGGCTTGAAAGAAGAAGTGTTCCACACCAAACCACATCAAACAAACACCACAACAACCAACACAATTAGCCATAGTACTGTATCCTCTCAGAATCCAAACAATCCTCATCCCTATGCAACTCCATCCCCAACAGATTCCATTGACATTACTGGTTTAAAATCGCCCAATTTTGATGAACTCACCAATACAAGCGATAGCTTTGTTGGAAGTGCATCTAGTACTGGATCCATTCCAATCATTGATCACCATGAGAATATGTAACCTATTGTAAAAACTCAAATTAACATGCACATGATGAACCATTTGAATATAAATTAAGGTTTTCCTTGCCATTTTCATCGAATATTCGAACCATGTCTCCCCAACGTAACCACAAAACATTGTTGCACCAACATGAACAACTAGATCTTCCACATTGTGTGTTGTATTCCAAGCCTTCAACAACAACAAACATAAAAACTAACAACGTCCAAAATAAGTGAAATTGAAACCCCCTTTAAAAAATGCACAAAAAAGAACATTCTTCATTCTTCACGGTGGTGCCGAGGAGAGAAGGCGAAAAACATGATAGTAATGATGATGATGGCTCATCAACGCCAAGCAGTATCATAACAAAGCCTTCATTGTTGACCACGGCTGATGAAGCAAGTAAAACGGAATATATTAAATTACATAGTAGAAATTGGTTGGAAGAGAAAATGTTGAAGCTGTGCTCATCGAGAGGAGCTACAATGTTCATTGTTGTAATGGGCTATGCATTGGCTTTAATGTATGGATATGCGTCGATGAGTTGGAATGAAAATTTGATTAATATTGGAATAATTTTAGGACAAATCGTGTTGAATCAGAATGTTTTCATGTTCTTGTTTAAAGTGGATCAATTCTTGAGGATTGAAAATGGAGATAGACTAAAGATGGGATGTTTATTGATCTTATTGACAATAAGGTTCTTTTTATTTGAAAGAAATAAGATTCTCTTTGTGCCAACCATGTTAATGTATATATTTGGAGGAAATCTTGTTTATTTGGAATCAACATTCTATGGACTCTTACCAACGTATTATTTGTGCTCGCTCTACGTTTTGACTGGATCTTGGCGTGGTTATTTTCATTATTTGGAACATGGATTGGATAAAGAGCTAGTTGATATTTTGATTGAGTGTTTTGGGTTGGCTTCTTGTTTATGGATTGCAACATTTTATCTTGTAACAACTACAGGATACTTGACAATCAAAGTTTCAAAACTAGAAGAAACTAGAGCAAAATTGGAGGATGCTTTGTCGATTAGAAATACTTTCATGAGCCATATTTCACACGAATTTAGGTAAGACTTTTCTTTTATTAAGTGCTTATTAATATGTGAAATTATTGAAACAAGATGTCCAATTCAATCAAGTATGGGATGTCTTCAATTGCTGAAAGAGACTGAATTGACAAAGAAACAACAAGAACTTGTGGATACAGTCACATATTCCAATAGTGTATCACTACTTCTTATTGAGGATATTTTGCGCCTGGTTAAAATTGAACATGGAAGAGATGATAACCTTGAATGTCAACATATTTTTGATATCGGAAGAGCTGTAGGAGTGTTGGACAAAATGGTTTGTGGATATGCACACCAATTTGGAGTCAATTTGAAATTAACGTGTGAATCGCTTAACAATCTAGTAGTTCGATCCAGTCAGTCTCAACTACTCCAGATATTGAGTAATTTATTAACAAACGGTATCAAGGTAAGTGTTCTAATGAATCAGAAATAGGCTCACTTAGTAAAGGCCTCAAATCCAGATAGTGCAGTAGAATTAGTAGCTAACATTGTTTCAAAAACAGATAATCTGGCAGTAGTTCAATTCAAAATTATTGATCATGGCAAGGGAATACCTGAAGCTTTGATACCGACCATATTTGAGCCATTTGTTCAATTAGGAAATGTTAATGAGTCCAAGGTTCCCTCTTCTGGACTAGGATTAACAACAGTTTCTCATCTAGTAAATTCAATGAAAGGAAAAATTGAAGTCAAATCAAAGACTAATATTGGAAGTGAATTTATTGTGGAATTGCCATTTGATTTGGCATCAACGGAAGCTCAGGAAGATATAGTTCAAGATCCTATTCTAGAACTACAGTTAGCAGTGCCTCAAGAGCAATTAAAAATAGGAAGTTCTTCAGTTAGCTTGGACGGTGAAATGGACACAACTAGCATTATTGTAGCAGAAGACAATTCAGTGAATAGAAAAGTTATCTTGAAGATGTTGGAAAGTCTAGGACATAAGGCAGATGCTGTATGTGATGGTGAAGAGTTGGTTCAGCAATTCGATCCACAAAGACACAAAATTGTGCTTACTGACTTGGTAAGTTTGTTGATTCAAATTTTTTTAACATTCTGAAAAATAGAATATGCCCAACTTGAATGGAATCAAAGCAGCACAAGAATTGAGAAAAAGATTTGGAAATGATTTCAAAATTTATCTGCTCACAGGAAATGTCATGGCTTGTGAAGAAGACTATTCTTCAATTATTGACAAGGTGGTAATCAAGCCAGTTTCTAAAACAAATTTAAAGCATTTAATATCGTAAACCCACAAAACTAGTAATTCTATTATTGTAGAATGCAATTGGAAGTTTAAGATCTTGCGGAAAACATTGGTTGTTTATCATTACAGTGAAAGGTGAAATAAATCACCTCATCAAGGAACTCTATTTACAATATTAGCGTATTATACAATGTAATTATCTCAAAATTATTGACCTAATAAAGTTGCAAAATTATAAAATTATGGTGTAAGAGATGTTAGAGAAACAAAATCATCCTTCCAATCATTCTCATATTTCTCAATTAAGAATTTCCAACCTCCTGTCAAATCTACAAGAAGACTATTATATTTATCCGGACCTGCCACTCCATTCAAATCATTATGTCCATCCTTTCCTCTCCACTTGTATCCAAACGTTGGTGAAAAGTGTGGTGATTTAGCTGAGAGACTGTGATATCCTCCTGATTGATCGTATTTACTATATTCTGAACCCTCCACACCAACTATATAAAGATTAATAAATTATTAAATTATATATATCACTTACTCAATAGTCCACCAAATCTTCCCTTCTTTGGTGATTGGTAATAAATATACATGTGGCCATGTTCTCCATTGGCCTCAATCTTCTTTCCTGTCAATGAACGATTCTCTGCTCCTCCTAAAGGTAAATTCATTCCCCAATCTTGAATAATGCTATTTTAATTGAATTGTGAATGAAAACTTACGTCTGTGATGTTTCAAAAATCCATCAGTCGTTCCAAACAACTTGGTATCTCTGAAAGTTATTCCAATAGTTTTGGTTTCATGCAAAACCTTCTTCTTTCCCATTGGTAAGCTAAAATTGTACTTGTCGTCTATTATTTTCTTTGGCAGTTGTATTGGCGGTTCTTCCATCATTTTACTGACATCTCTCATAACTCGTCGTTGTCTATAATGACCATTTGATTGTGATTCATTCTCTAGGAATTTATCTATCATATTGGTTGGTAATTCTTCATCATTAGTGATCTCTAGTTCGATTGGCTTATCCAAAATGAGTTGATCAGATGCTTGTGGCTTGTAGTAATCTAAAGCATGTGTAGCTCCCAATCTTCTAAAAATCACCTTTCCATCAATTCTTGCCTCATCTAAAATTAAATGTTCACACAATTTAAATTCCATTAAAAACTTACTTCCACTCGTTTTGGTTGAAATTATCTTTGATAAATCTCCATCCACAGTTCCACTGAATTATTATTATAAAGTTATTAATCCTTCATTATTAATCAATTAGAAAACCTACGTAACGAGCCATTTCCAAAATGAATGTTCATCCTCTCCATGTGTTTTCCTATCCATACTGTCCAACTGTATTATCACTCTACTTCCATGTGACAGGACACTTGCAATTGGATATCTGGTAGTGTTCCACAATTTCCAATCCTCCACCTTTGCATCCTGTCTATACATTAATCCTCCATATCTCAACACACAAAATACTCTCCTCAGAATATTTCCTAGAGAGTCATACTCTGGATTTTCCAAAGTTCTCCTCCACAGAATGGCATCTCTCTTACATTGTGAAATTACTCCACTCTCATTATATTCCTTTTCGATAATTTGTTTTAATCTCTCAACTTGACTCAGAAAGAGAGGATCCGAATATTCAACATCATCTGGAATGAGTGCATATTCAAAATGATCAATAAATATCACTGATTTTGGATC